AGTGAGTCAAACCTTACCCAAGGACCCCTGTGAGGTATTATAAAATCATGGTGTAAGAAAGTCCAGTGGATTTTAATGGTAGAGGGTGTGCAAAGTCACTGATACGCTTGCAGAGTCCACATTGCAACTAGTCTTTAACAAATGAACACTCATCTGGTTTTGGTATATTACCAAAGAAGAATAGCCCTAATTACCTGAAAAAGCTAGTAAATACTTCTCCATTTCTGGGCTCAACCAAAGCAACATACGGCAATAAGCTGAACACAGAAGTGGATACTGGTCCAACTTTCTTTGTTAAGCAAGACAGTGATATTTGCAAATATGTACTTTTTGAACTTTTTTCACCATTTTCTTTTGTTTTGCATAATATGGCTATTTCTCATAAAGGTATATTATTCGTGTTAATATGGAATGGTTCATTATTATTATGTTTGAAGGGACTAATACATATTTTGAAAAATTCTGTTTTAATTTCTAATACAAGAAGTATTGACAGAAACAAGCCACGTCAGCAGTTCTCGGGGGTCCACAGTGATTGTGAGGTGTGTGAATGGGTCCTGGGCCCACACGTGTCAGGGCCTCCGTCCTCGGTAATAGGAAGGTTTGCATGTTCTCGAGGGATGGAGCTAACGGGATGCAGGATTGATGTGGCGAGGTGTGTACGAGGAAGACGTGTGGCCCGGGGCGTTAGGTGGGACACCGGGCACGCTGAGGAGGGACGACGGAGAGGAGGGGCTGCAGGCGAGGCCAGCTTCACAGTCACAGGGGATGAGGCTGGGCGGGCAGCTGTGACGGTGAAGGGAAGAAACAATGCCCGCCTGGAAGTATGAAGCCTGTGTTCACTATGTGTCCACCGGGCTAGGCTGTGACGGCCGGTTGTCTGCTCACACGCCTGTTGGGATGCTGCTGGACAGGTGGCATGATGATGTCCTTCTCATGTAAGCCTGTTGACTTGAAGCCAAGCAGATGACCCTCCATGATGTGCTGGGCCTCATCCCATCCGCTGAAGGCCTTGAGAGCAAAGACTGAGGTTGCCTGAGGAAGATTCTGCCCCCAGACGGCCTTCATATTCAAGACTGCACCGTCGGCTCTTCCCGGAGTCCCCAGCTGCCAGCCTGTCCTGTGCAGTTCAGACTTGCCAGCCCTCAGGTCACACGAGCCAATTCCTTGCAATCTCTCTCTGTATACGTATATCCTATTGATTCTGCTTCTCTGGGGAATCCTAACTCATACAAAACCGAATCTCAAAAATAAAAGTTTGGATTCATTCGTATAATTAGGAAAGAGACGGGAGGCCTCCCCGCCCCGAGAAACTCTCCCTTCTGTGGTGGGTTTGCCAGGTCTGGTTGGTCAGCTGGTGCTTGGGCTCCGCGGCTCAGCTATCTTGACAAACGTCCATTTATGCATCCACCAAGCATTGGATGAGTGTCCACTACGTGAAGGGGCAGTTGTTTGCTAGAATGATTCACAGAACGTCTAGATACATTTGGTCAAATAGCCGAGGACGAGGGCTTCGTCCTCGTGAGTCTGTTGTGTGTGGAAGGAGGGAGAGGCCAGGGCGTGATGCAACCTGGTGACATTTGGGCCTCCCACGCCCTTTGCGTGTGAGGGTGAGACCCCTGGCCTCTAAGTGCAGGTGCAGTGCGGCCTGATTCAATGCTGGGTGCTCACGTGAGCTCACCTGGCTCGGTGGAGACTTTCCTCGGTGAGCATGAACTCGAAAGGGGAGACCTGCTTGCTTCTGGGCCGTGCAGACTCGGCCGAGGCACCGGCCTCTGGCTGTTGTAGACTCACCCACGAGTGAGGGCTCCTGGGAGCAGGAAGAGGTGATGCACAAGCTTACCAGGAGACGGATGTGAGGAAGTGATGGATGGCGTGAGGGCGGGCAGCCCCATCAGGCCCTGCTAATTCCCACACTCGCAGCTGAGCTCTCTAAGCACGTAGAGGCCATTCATTTTATTGCAGAAAACAAACAGGGAGGCGTATTCTGAAAGCGTCACTGCACCCTTTAATTTGCAGCTCTGACTGGCCATGTGTGACGTAGAGAGGGTGACTGCAGGAACGAACCCGCAGACCCCTGGCCAGCTCCGCATCCCTGACCGAAGCGAGCACCCTTGGGCGAAAACGGACGCTTGCCCTTACGCTGGAAGGGCTCGGGCCACGTCGTTGCGGGCCTGGGGAGCTCAGCACAGGCCTCCTTCCTCTGTGTTTTGATCTCCCATCTGGTTCTGCCTTTCATTTTGTAATTTAGGGGCCTATCTGGTCCAATTTATTGGTTACACATTACCTGGCTTTGAAGTTGCGTCTTTATTGTTAGTAAATGGAGCAGGAAAGCGCACACTTCTTTCGTGGCTGGAGGGGTTTGCACTGGTGTATTTCTGTCAAGGTTGACTTTCCGGCACAGACACAGGAAAAGGGCCGGGCTGCTCCACGGCCACGACAACCAGAGGCAGGAGTCCTGGCTACTGGCTCCGGAGTCCCTGAGGTCCGCCCTGGACTGGGCCTGGGCGAGGTGCACGGGGGTGTGTGGGAAAGGCCCTCGCCCAGCCTCGGGGGTCCGGAGGGCTTCCTCAGAGGAGTGGGGTGGCCTGGGGTGGCCTGGGAATCAGGCAGGTGTGGAGCCCCATCCTGAGTTCACTGGGAAGGACAGCAGACCCCGGGGAGGCCCCGGGGCTGAGGTAGGAGGTCCGTGCAGAAGGAGGCTGACCTTGGTGACTAAAATTGTGACCTTTCGATTGCATCTGATGAATCAGCACGTTCTGTCAGACAGCTCCTTCCGCAGTTTGCCCAAAGCTGACGGACCCACAGCTCTTGTTGAAATGCTTGCTGCCGGCCCAGTTCTGCTCCCCTCGTCCGCGGGGAACGCAGGGGCTGAGTCAGAAAACGCCTGACTGTTCATTTCCTTCTACTTATTTGATTTACTAGCAGCTCTTTTAAGTCAAGCCCCACCTCGTTATCTCGGAGACTTCCTGCACGTCAGGGGCCTTAATGACGGGCCCAGGGACTGGAAGGAAGGGGGCTGTGCGAGCCGGGGTGAAGACTCAGGCAGGCCCGCCTAGAGTCCTGCCAGCCTTGCCTTAGCTCCCTGGTCCTGGGCAAACTGCTCCCCAATCTGTAAAGTTGGCACCATTCTCCCCTGGCTTGTGGTATGGCTGTGACAACTGGGTGACGTGATGGGCAGACACGGTGCTTGTCACAGAGAATGGCAGCCTTTGCTGTGGGGAGGCCTGGGCGTGGTGTGCTTGAAGTTAGGGTCGTGGCCTGAGTCGAGGCCTGGAGGGGACAGGGAGGATCTGAGGAGCCAGGAGGAGTCAGGCGTCACCTGTGTGCTGGGACAAGATTGTGCAGAAAGTCTCCAGAACCAGACAGACCAGTTGGTGACTTGATGTGGCCAGCAATTAGCAACCTCTCCATTTCTGAGTATTGGTGAGACTGGACCAAGGGCGTGTGGGTGCTGAGTGTGGCCGTGGCTGTGGGAGGGAGAAGAAACTGAAGCCCATGGGAGGGGCTGGGGGGGGGTCAGTGTTGTACCGGGGCCTGCACAGCTGGGGACAGCGAGGGAGCAGAGGATGAGCTAGAAGAGAAGGTTCAGCAGGGTGTCCAGACTACAGAGTCCCTCCGATTTGGGGCTGTCAGTGGGCTGCAATCATGGCACTGGGGATGGTGACAGAGAGCTGAGTGGGAGTGGTTCCTAAAGTGAGAAGCCAGTGACTCTGTGCAGCTGAGCACAGCTTGGGGACCCGAGGGAGGCAGGCTCACCGGTCAGTGTTGATGGTGAAAGGGGCCTGTCTGCTGCCCACGGCAGCACTGTAAACGTAAGTCAGGCCTGCGGGAGCTCAGGGAGCAGAGATGGGAGACCGTTTGGAAGTCCTGCATGTTGTGAGCACTGCCTCCTATGCAGAAGCAGCTGGCCTGAGGCCAGGGAGTTTAGTGTTTCTAATAGAATTGGGGACAGTCACATGACCCTTGCACGGCCAAGCTGATGCATGACGCTTCTCACCACTTGGGACAAATATTATCCCCCACTCTCCCCACCACGGTGTGTGCTCCTTTGTGCTGCTGATGGAGGAGGAAGGCTCCTTCGCACCAACCAGCAGGACTACTCTGCTCCTTTCCTGGCCTGTGGCTCCAGGTTTCATGGATTAGCATGTGGCGTGAAGCCGCGGGTGAGAGCTCACCTTGGCACAGAAGGACTTAGGTGGCCCTGTGGGCAGCCGTCGCGGAGGCAGGTCAGAAGCCCAACTGGCGATGCAGGTGTTTGTCTGTCTGTGATTGTTTGGCTAACGTTTCTGACTGGAAGCCGACTTCTCCCACATCCGAAAGTAAAATGGCGGTTATAGGTGGTGGGCAGGGCAGGGCAGGGTCCCTTTCACAGCTGGTGGCGTAGTTCACTCGCGTTTACTCTGGGGTAGATTCTTTACATTTTTGACCCGCAGCTACGTTGTGCCCGCTTCCATGTCCCCAGGAGTGCCCTCCCTTCCCCTGGGCCCCCAACACCAGTGCCTCCAACTGCCCTTTGCTCCCCAGCTTTGGGGGTGGCAGTAGTGCCCAAACTTGACATCTCCTTCCCTCCCTCCTCCTCCTGGGGCCAGAGTTCGCAGCAGTCAGAACTGGGAGGACCCCAGAGCCTGGGCATGTGCTCGGCTAGAGATCTGGGGCGGTTCATGGCTGTGGGCTGAGGTGGTGGCCACCTACAGGGGAGCAGACAGTGCCCCCAGGACCATGGTCCACACGGCCTGCAGACGCGGCGGGTGGCTGATACTTTCCTGGAAGCGCCCCGGGGAGTGCAGGTCTGACGTGGACCCTGGAGCCCCAGTCTCCAAGCCTGAGACATTCCCTGCGGCTGATAAACCCCTACTCCCCTCTTGCCTTCAATGAGTTCCGCTGCTAGAGCAACTCTTCCATTTCTGTAAAGAATCCCTCCCACTTTAGAAAAATCTCTGTATTTCTCAAAAAAGACTTTCCAATGTAAACAAAACTATCTCATTCTCTATTCACAGGCCAAGCTGGGAACTGAGTACTTGGGGGAAGAAATCGGATGGCTTAGATACCAGGCCTCTAAATATTTAGACAGTCGGGAGGGCCAGCAGCAAATTCCAAGTCCGTGTGATAATTGCACTGCTCATCAGTCCTACGGCGAGATCAGTCAGCAAAGTATAAAATCAACCAGCGGCGACTTCACGATTTATTCTTCGGTGTGCCTCCTTTGGTTTGGATGGTGGGAAATTGTCCATGTGGAGGCCACAGAAGAAAGAGAAATAGAACATTTATGAAAAAACACGCTTAAATTGGATGATCAGAGCTTCGGTTGGAAGAAAACGGACTGAGTTCAGGCCTTTAGAGGACAAATCGAAGGAGTAAAATAACCAAGTTTGCAGCTGACCCTAAAGCGCCGATAGGAAATACCGGGGAGGATGAAGTTCGATAAGAGCGCTCACATCTGGACAGATGGAAACAAAACGCCCCGGAGCGTGGCTGGGAACTGTCGTCTGGGAGGAAGCCCAGGTGGTATCCAGAGCGCTGGCTTAAGCTCAGGGCTGCACGAACCGGGCACTGTGTGGACATTTTCCCATTTAACCCCCAGAACACCCAAAGGAGGAGACTGGGCACAGGCAAGAGAAGCTTTGTTGGTCCGTTACCTAAAAATGCCGATCAGAGATGTGAGGGTGGCTCAAACCTCCCCACCTCAGGGGAGCTGACGGCACAGCCTCCTATGGGACCACGTATGCAGTCTGGTCCCGGCCCGGGGTGGCACAGCGGGCACACACCCCAATAACGACAGGATGCTTGGGGTACGCAGGCTGTGTCCTAGAATTTGGGGGTGGGGTGGGGACAAATGATCATAGCCCACTCCTCGCTCCTCTCGCAAGATGAAAAAGCTGCCTGTGTGCTGAAAGGGTAGCCCTTGACGACAGTAATCGAATTCCTTTCCATTCAGGTCAGCGTTCCTGGAGTCAGGCTGATCCCAGCGGTGTCCAGACATGGCCGTGCAGGTATGCGCCACCAGGAGGAAGCTCTGGAGACAAGACTGAATACTCCACAGTGGTGGTAAATGGCACACTAGCCGCTGAGATGGTGGTGATAGTCCACAGCACTGCAAATCCCAACGCACTCTCGTGAGGTCCGGTTCGCTGTTCCAGGCCCTCACGTCTCCTACGCTTAACTGGGCCACCTCCTCTCGGTTTTCTGAGAAACTTTCAGTTTTACTGCTGTGGTGCATTGATTTCTTATGTAAGTAGTAACTGCAGAGTTTATAATAAAATGTTATAAACAGACACCACTCTGGATAAGGGTGCTACTTCTCCCTTTAAATTGCATAAGCATGGGTTTTCTGAATCTTCAGGGAAAAAGGAAGAAATAATGTTAATAGGTCTGCTCCTCGAAGCCCCTCCTGGTAGTGTGTGAATGCCAGACTAGCTTGGACCAGGATCTGATACTATGCAAGAATGCATACAACAGCTGTATTCTTTTAATTAACAACACTTTGATTGTTTCAACAAAGGTATAAGTGGCTTACTGATATCACTATAAATGCCAAATGCAAGTGAGTGTGGCCCCGTCTGCAACGTTAAAACGGAAAATGGTAATCATCTGCATTTTTCAGCACAAGGAAACTGTGTCCTATTCAAGGCTCATGATTTACATGAAAACATTTGCAATAATTAATGAGACAAATTTTTATAGGCTATCATACTTCAGCCTTCATATAACAAACATTTAAATAGTAAAAGCTTACAAACATTTTTAGTAAAATGTTGATAAAGCCAGTGAAAGGCATTTGGAAAGTACTGTCATGCCACCTACTCAGGAGAGTAATCGCATTTCAGACATGACATAGTCACTAGAACTTCAAAAACGGGTAACAGTGATGTGACTGGATCCTTGTAATCTAGAGTTTTGAAGCTGCTAATTGGAAATACTCATCTATTGAGATATGAAAACAACGTTTTGCAAAACTTACAAACCAAGGCAGCAAGAGTTCAGTCGTTCTTGGTTATCATGCTTCATCTCTTATGTAACAGTATTGTAATGAATTATTTGAAGTGCAAAATACAGGACTTTGAAGTTAGTTTAAAGGTTTGGTTGATTTTGTGAGTCAGAAGCCGTTCATGTTGCTACATATTAATCATGAGTGTTAGTGTTGAGAAAAATGCTTTCAATGGGAAATCTTCCTATGGAAAACACATCAGGTGTATGTAAACAGTATCCATGTCATTACAGTTACACTGCAATTGTAGTGTAATTGTAATCAATTAAAGGGAGAAACTGTGTTGGTCCTGCCGAATTTTTATAAAAATTTCCAGATGTTTTAATTTAGATCACCTAACATGACCGTATTCAATTATACCTGGGTGATGCAACAAATACGTAAATTGACCACCTTGTATCTTTTCCCGAAGGTTTGGATTTGTTTCACATGTCAAGGAAACAGAGAGAATGAAATACTCTGAGGAGCTAGACAAAGCAGCAGTGAGAACTGGAAGAATATTTGGACGTCAATGCGGGGCCTGTACGTCGAGAGCTGTCAGAGAATTTTTGAAAAACATATGCAGATTTGCAGCCTGTCTAATAAAAACTGTGTAACCGGAGTGGATAAACATTTGAAGACTGGCTTTACTAAGCACTGCTCTCTCGGAGGGGCCAGTGCTTCCATTAGCATTATAAGAAAGCCGTGTCAGTTATTAGAGCGAGATGAAGGGTGTCTTTGCGTGTGTATCCTTGTGGGGGGCACCTACCTGACCCTTCTACTTGGAATTTTAAAGCAACCCCCTGCCCCCAGAACTCCTGTTACAGTCCCTGCTCTAGTTAGCACTTGCCACCGTAAACACATCGTTTTTGTTATGTTTACTATTTACTTTCTTTCCTCTGCACTGCAAGCCCCTTCAAGGCAGAGGTTTTTGTTATGGTTGTTGTCGATTTTGATCGCTGATCTATCTCACATGCCTGGAATGGACAAGTCATCCTGAGTGAACGAATGTGTAAAACAAATAAGTGAAACTGAAGGAAAAGCAGAAGGTGGTATTCAAGGGAAGAAATAAGATATGAAATTTGAAAAGAAACAAAGTAGCTATTCCAAGAAGAAAGACTAGCAGCTTGTCTGATAGATTATCTGAAAATGCACTAGTGGTTTAATGAAAAACGTGAAGAAATGAAGTGGTAACTTTTAAAAATTCTTAGAATTCTGAGTGTAGGTCAAATGACATATGTGGAGTTCTGTGATAAAGGAAACCCAGCAGCCAATTAAATATGACAACCCATTAACCATTTTCCATGATTGGCCATAATGGTAGAGCTATCAGACATGTAAAATCGTCAGACAGCATTGTTAGGGCTGGAATGTTTAATGTAATAGAAGTTAGTGTAGTGAATGCTGACAAGTTCCTGTACCGTGAACAATGGCGCTGATATTGTATGAACTTCTCTACTGAGACTAAAGTTACCTCATGACCATGTAATGAATAAGCGAGTTGTTAGAAGGATTTTGGAGTTCCCCCTGTCAAATCACAGCTCAGTCAGGGGGAACAGCTGTGTCAAGCAAAAGCTATGCCAACAATTTTTAGACGTCAGTCGATGATTTGGAAATTATTAGAATAATTGGGTAAACAATGTGTGCTACAATTCCTACATCTTGGTAAATACACATTTGTGTGATAATTCTGTAGCTTAGAGAACAAAGGGGAATGCATTTTATCATTTTGAAGTATATATTGATTTGTGAATTAATTTGTTTTACTGCTCAGTGAACTATTTTGACTCTTCCCCGCTGCACTAAGTGGCCACGCTGACTGGGACCATGTCATGATCCCAGTTTTTGAAATGGTTTGCCACAATCTCTAGGGCAGGTCTCTACCCTCTGAAGACGCTCTCATGCATGAGATACATGCCACTGAGGGGTGCCAGCTCAGTCCCACAGCAGTTCCAGAATTATGAGTCATTTTGGTCTGAAGTACATTCAAGGCCTTGGGGTCAAGGTGATGTGTGTGCTTTTAGGTAGTCAAGATAACAGGCTTTAGAGAAGAGCAAAGGCTTGTCCTGAGGAACGGAACTGGGGGCTGGGGGCTGGGGTTGCTTGGGCGATAGCGTGGAGAAGGATTCGTGGGTCAGTGGGGTTTCTGTCTGAAGGTGTGATGTGAGACAACGTTGGGTCGTCAGAGAGGGACAAGTGCTTGGAAGGCTCTGAAAGCAAGCTCGGGGAGTATTCTCTGAGGGAGTTTGGGGGTGATGCGTCAAAGAGGAACTGGGAAGGAGGGGGGAAATGAGGAAACAAGGCTGTCCCTGTAGGAACGGGGGCAGAGCCCCACTGAGGAGGGGAGGCTGCAGACGGCACACAACAGAGGTTGAGTCAGGAGAAAGGAGGAGATAGTGTCAAAGCTGGCACCACCCGTGGGGCGGGAGGACCCGGTTTCGTTTACACATGTGCCTGGGCGATGTCACAATGTGCAAGGGCATAAGTCATGCAGGCACTTGGGATGCGTCAGACACGGAGACACGTATGTGATTCAGTCACCTAGAGGTGAGAGGTGACACTGAGGAGAACAAAACGTAGCGAGAACTCCACCAGGAACAGCCACAAGAAAACACAAAATTCTTCAGGCCGAAGTCCAGAAGACCTTGGAGGGTATGTGTCAGGAGAAGAGGCACTCACCAGGTCCCCCCACAAGCCCCTCTGCCCTTGATGGCAGGTGTGAGGAGGTAAGAGATGTGTGGACAGTAGGCCTTCTCGGTTGTCCCACCGCGGGGGACATTCCAACCTCCAGGATTGCTCTAATGTCTGGGATGATAAGCTGCTATCCTCACCCTCGCACACCTGTCTTCTCTGTGTGACCACCTGCTGTTTGGGAAAGGCACAGGAGCTGTGCGTCCTCCCATAGCAGGACGGAAAGTCCCCAGCTCTGGGTGTCAGCGTCTTCGTCCACTCTAGGACCTCCTTTGGCCGACTCCACGGCCCACTGGAAAATGCTGCCCTGGGCAGAACTGTTGGAGTCTTCGTTTGGTTTCTGACTTGTTTTCCCTGGGCGGGGAGGGGAACTGGGCAACCGGAAGTGGGGCTCAGGGCCCCTTCCTATGGGCACCCCTTTTGTCCCTCGCAGGTCCGTCCTTTTCAGCAGGGTTGTGTGGAAGGCCTGCATGGACGTTTCGGGGACAGACTTGCTTCTGTACCTGGCTGCTTGCACCTTCAGTCCATTTTGGGCTGGCCTTGTGGGTGGTACTCGTGACAAAGCCTGCTTCCTTCTCTCCCTCCCCCTTTGTCACCAGGCATTTCACAGGAGGCTTGCTGAGGGGTGACGTGAACCTGAGTGTGGGCTTTGGTGTGGTCTCAGGTGACACGCACTGAGCCTGTTGCATTGAGTGGAGGATAATTAGTCTTGCACACTCGGGGCCACGCCCTACAGGGCACCCAGATGTGTTTCTGCTTCATGTGTTAAAAATGAGCCGGGTTCTGGGTTTCTCTGGTCTACATTTGGTCATGCAGCTAAAACTTGGCCCCACACAAAACTGGAAAATCCCTAGCGTACTATTCTGATGATCACAGCAGGGCTGAGGATCGAGGGCTGTTATCACTTCAAAAATCAGCCTGAACAATAGAAACAATAGCAACAAAATGCCCCTTAGGGCTGTTTCAAATCCATCCAAGGGCTAATCATAAAGTCATAACTTAACCTGGGGAAGAAAAGAAAGGTCTGGAAAAACAAAAGGCGCATTTAGATCACTTTAATAAACTCGAGATGAAGTCACCAGCCACTGATGGGGGCTCACGATGCAGGACTCTGCGCAGAGAAGGTCAGCACGAAGCCAGCGTCTGTCCTGGGCTTGTATGTGCTTGGGCTGGGGTGCGTTCTCCCCACGATTATTCCATGTGACCCTCCCACTGCCCTGCATGGTGTGTGGGATGTTTGAGGGGCCTTTAAAGACACAGTCCTCAGTGACCACTTTGGAGAGCAGTCGGGGAGCTCTAAGTGCTCAGATAGGCAGAGGAAGGGGCACTCTGTGGTCCTTTTGTTATCAGTGACGCTGACCTGCCACTTGACTGGACCAAGGATGTGTGCCCAGATCAAAAGCGTGGCCTGATCACGAGGGTGGCCACCTTCCCCAAGGTGACCTGCTGTCAAACTAAGGTGGCTGCGGACAAAGCAACTTAGCGAGCTCTGTTCTGGGAAGGTGAAAGGCTGGCCCACCCAATGTCCACGCCCCACGTGGGCTGGCCTCTTCGCTGGCCTGAGGCACAGCCCAGCCTCAGGAGGGAGACGCGACAGGCGGGAGAGTCCTGAGCCTCCTTCAGTGCCCACGTCCCCTTGTGGTGCCCTCCAGTGTCAAAGGGTCTCTGGGCACATCACACCCCTGCTGCCTGTGGTCCAGAGATGCAAGGTCATAGAAATGCCATTGCAAGAACGTTGGGCAGCCAGTCGGCAAGCTCTGATAACAGTAAGCAAAGGAGCGCCTCTCGGCCCAGGTGCCACTTCCATCTAAATGGCACGA